GTATTTTTGGGAAATACTGTGGCCTTAAGACAGTACTTCTCTGCAAAAATTGATAATTTAATTACTCTAGAACTAAAATAACAAAAATATTCATAAACACATACAGTAAATAATAAAATGTTCATATCATAACCGCTATGATAAATCAGCTGAGAGTAGTGAGTGCCAAACATTCAAGAAATACACAGTGTATTCCTTATAGTCTTTCTCTCAAGTCAAAATGACAGTAATAAGAGGGGAAAGGGTTGTTGGCCTGTTTAGAGATACTGAATTTTGTAGATGGGAAGAGGGGCAAACAATGATCTTTTTATTTAGCAAAATACAAGCATAAACATCTCAAAGGTGCTTTTTCAAGAGGCAACTGGACTTTCTTGTTTTTTCTTTGAAGAAGTTTCACTTCTCATGCAAGAAGCTTCTTGGATGAGAAGCGAAACATCTTCAAAGAAAAAAAAACAAGAAAGTCCAGTTGCCTCTTGAAAAAGCACCTTTGGGACAACCATGACCTGGATGACTGAGAATCTCCATAGACATTACCATAAATAGTAGTTATCTTTTTGAAAGGCTGATAAAGAAATATACACAAGTGGTTCCTTCAATTAACATATATTTTATAAGTACATTAATTGCTATACATATTATAGTTAACAGTATGGACAGCCTAAACAGATTGGCTGACCGACTTGCAAGTGGGACAGTGCTTGGTAATTCAAATTATGGTCCAGATGTGTTCCTTAACAATTGTGAAGATATATTTCTTCATGAAGACCGAACAGTGAAGATAGGAGACTTTGGTTTGGCAACAGTGAAATCCAGATGGAGTGGTTCTCAACAGGTGGAACAGCCTACAGGATCTGTTCTCTGGATGGTAAGGTCTGCAGTATAAATGAAAAAGACGATTAAATTACGCATCATTGCTCTAACGTGAATGAGGATTTATTTATATACAACAAATTTGGGGGAAAAATCCCCCAAATGTAGCGTTTTCTGTTCCATTACAACTGTCTTCGTTGTTACGAAAGAACCAGGTTTCTAGTGCTGCCGTGTTAATAGTATATTTGTGTTTACAGAACATGGGGCTTCTTAAACAAATTAATAATTTTGCTTTGATCTCATTTGGATTCAGGTCCAAACTATATAGCCTGCACTTGTGCACAAATTGACACTCCCCACCCCTGCCTTTGGAATGTGAGGGATCTTTCCCTATTGCAGTGATGGTGAACCTTTTAGAGACCGAGTGCCCCAAAACTGCCTGCCCCCGCTCCACCCCCACCCCACCTGCCCGCAGGGCTATTCACCACCTCCAGGGCCCGTCACAGATCACCCAGCAGCGCCTTGGCAGCCACCCCCTCTTCCCGCGCCCCACAGCATCAACTGTCGTGATGGGCCGTGAGGGCAGAGTCTTGTCTACGCTGTCTGGCTGCCATGTCCTTGGCTGCTCTGCTCCACGTGGGCCACGCTCGAGGGTGACTCTCCTCCAGGGGGGCTGCTGGTGAGGAGGGTGTCACGGGGGGAGGCAAGGCTGGGGCAACGGCACATGTGCCCACAGAGAGGGCTTCAAGTGCCGCCTCTGGCACCTGTGCCATAGGTTCGCCACCCCTGCCCTATTGCAACCGGTAGTGTTTTTTTCAACCTTCCATTATTTCCATGCATAAGATTGGTGCTGGGGAGAGATCTGGTCCCAGTCTTCTGTATATGTCCAATGCTACAGGCAACACAAGATATTTCCTTTGAAAATCCTGTGTAGAGGTGCATACTCTTAATTTAATTAGCTGGTCAGCCATCTGTTCACTGACAGATATCATAAAGAAAAAAAAAGTAAGATAAAGTAGTCTACACCCAACCATTCACTTTAAATTATGCTTCATGATTTTTTTTTAACCTATGACCTTTAATTTAGTTGACTCTACTTTTTATTCCTTTTCCATGCAGTGCATAACATTGCTTACCTTGAAAGGCAATAAGTGAATGGGAATGTATGTATGGTCTTGGACCCAATTTGAATGCATTAGAAAATTATTTTCAAAGTTTAACACTCTCCTAGTCTGTGAAATTATGGTTGTCTGTGGAGTGTGGACAAAGAAGTATAGGTTTTGGGGTGGGTCGTTACCTTTTTTTTTTTTTAATCATTTTATGTTTTCTAAAGGCACCGGAAGTAATTCGAATGCAAGATAGCAATCCATTCACTTTTCAATCAGATGTGTATTCTTATGGAATAGTACTATACGAACTGATGACAGGAGAGTTACCCTATTCACATATTAACAATAGAGATCAGGTGAGAAATTATTATTTTTTGATAGAGGGCTTTGTATTTTTGGATCAAGTTTTGTTTTTAAATTCTATAGATTTTCCCATTAAAAACAGACTAAAATACACACAGTTAAGAATTGTATTTGGATCATATCTATCTTATATGTTATTGCATGTTTTCTCAGTAATTTTGCAATGGTTCCTGTTTTACAATGCCCCAGTCAGTGTAATGCCACCGTCTTTGTCCTAAGTTCCTTCTTTGTGAGCCTCTGCAGGATTCATATATTAAAAATACAAAATTAGAAATTCCTCTATACTGAACTAACTGTGCTCATTGGTGTTTTCACATTGTATATTCCCAGAACTTCCTTTAATTTTCTTTGGTCTTCCAATTGCTCTTTTAATCAGAGTCTAAGTAGTACTTGTGTACTCTTCTTTTTCCCCCCCTTTTGTATTCTACTTTACCCAGAGATCATGAATAATTATGCTAGTTGGGAGGAGGGTCTGAAATTGTTTCAGAACAGTGAGATATGACGGAATTAATTTTGTAAAAAAAATCTTAACTATTCCAGTCGCTAAAGAGAACGATCAGAGCATGCTGGGTTTTAACATTTTCACTTGCCGTGGTAAATACGACACTTTCCTCTAGCAAGCATAATCAATGAGTAGCCTTCCTCCCAAATGGAAGCTAAAGAGAGAGGGATTTGACTGGAAGCATTCCAAATCCACGGAAGAAATGCGGTGATTTTTTGGGCACCAAATGGAGGATGCGAAGGCCCGCTCTTGGCTGCTGATTAATAAATAGACTGAAAATGGTGCCACTACGCAGCAGTAAAGTTGATAACATTCCTGCCTTTTTCTTCAGGGATGAAAGGAAATTTATATCTAGGGGTATAAATGTATATCTACGGGAGCCTTCTGTCAACCTAGTCTAGTCTAAAACCTCTGCCCAGTGGGGAAGTTTTAAGAAGCACAATGTTTGTTGCTGAGCAAAGGTATCTGTCTGCCTTGAGAAGGCTTGGAAGTCTAGTCAAGGCTTGAAGCTCCCAATCTTCCTACTTGTTGAGGACAGCAATTCTTAGACTCTTATTGATAAAGATTTCCTACTCTTTGATTAGCTTCTACACTCTGTATTGTAAGGTGAAAATGAATGCTTCAGCAAAGTCTACATTTCAGGAAAGTTATACCTCCATTCTCCAGTAGCAGAACTGAATAGGTGCAATACATGCTAACTTTGCATTAGCACATCCTTCTAATTATTTTCTCCTCGATGTGAATAATATAGAATGTTTTTTTACATTTTGCTCGAGATGGCAACAACTATAGTTTGCATTTCTAGCAACTTTCATCCACTTTTTTTTATGCCATAACCTAGTCTGTTTCACTAATTGCATTTTTCTTTTCTTAACCTGGCAGTGACTCTGATGGAACTTAATTTAGTGCAGTAGTAATGGCTATTACTGGAAAATGCAAAGGGTTGGAGGAATCCTTTTTGTATGAAAGGCTGCTGCCCAGAGCTTAGCAGCCGCTTATTTATTCATTTTTTTTTTCATGAGAATTATGAAAAGTTGATGCACATTTGCACATTTATAAAGTTGACACACATTTGCATATACAAAAATGTGTCTATTTATAATTCGTAGATCATTTTCATGGTTGGTCGTGGTTATACATCGCCTGATCTCAGCAAACTATACAAAAACTGTCCAAAAGCTATGAAGAGGCTTGTAGCAGATTGTGTGAAAAAAGTGAGGGAAGAGAGACCTCTTTTTCCACAGGTGAATATAGTTTTATGATAGAATCAAACAAAATCAGAAAAAAAAAATTGCATATACATTCCGTTAATTGCAAGTTGAAAAATAAAAATTCTGTTCTGTCACTGAGCTCTTTGATTTGGAATGATCCTGTTATATTTTAATGAATGATAATCAGTGTTTTAATTTTCAAAATATAGAAAATTACCAGCTCATAAATTAATTCCCGTTATCATCAACTGAAACTAAACTTATATAGAGTCAAGGTTGTTTTTTTTGTATCTATAATGTTAATGTCTCTCTAATGTTCCTGTGCTGAATATAATATTCAAAATACAGTCTGTGTGGATCTGTTATTTCTGAAAAATAAAAAAAAAACATTTCTTGCTTCCTTTCCCCATCGTCTTCCAGATATTGTCTTCCATTGAACTGCTGCAACACTCTTTACCCAAAATTAACCGAAGTGCTTCAGAACCTTCTCTGCATCGTGCAACTCATACCCAGGACATAAACTCATGCACATTGACTTCAACAAAGTTACCTGTGTTCTAGGAGATCCACGTGCAGTCTTCACCATTCTCCCCAATAACAGTTATTTCATAGCAGTTGTGTTTTTGAAAGCTTCAGTCTACAGAATTGAACAGCCAGCGTGGGATTCACCTGGGTGCCAATTTTAAGAGTGAGCTGCTAATGAATTTCTGCTGTTCTAAGCCTACAGGGACAAAAAAACTCCATGTTGCCTTTTGCTACAGTTTAATCTTATGGAAATAGTGCACAGACTGTATAAACAGAAGTTCTNGTATTTTTGGGAAATACTGTGGCCTTAAGACAGTACTTCTCTGCAAAAATTGATAATTTAATTACTCTAGAACTAAAATAACAAAAATATTCATAAACACATACAGTAAATAATAAAATGTTCATATCATAACCGCTATGATAAATCAGCTGAGAGTAGTGAGTGCCAAACATTCAAGAAATACACAGTGTATTCCTTAGTCTTTCTCTCAAGTCAAAATGACAGTAATAAGAGGGGAAAGGGTTGTTGGCCTGTTTAGAGATACTGAATTTTGTAGATGGGAAGAGGGGCAAACAATGATCTTTTTATTTAGCAAAATACAAGCATAAACATCTCAAAGGTGCTTTTTCAAGAGGCAACTGGACTTTCTTGTTTTTTCTTTGAAGAAGTTTCACTTCTCATGCAAGAAGCTTCTTGGATGAGAAGCGAAACATCTTCAAAGAAAAAAAAACAAGAAAGTCCAGTTGCCTCTTGAAAAAGCACCTTTGGGACAACCATGACCTGGATGACTGAGAATCTCCATAGACATTACCATAAATAGTAGTTATCTTTTTGAAAGGTTGATAAAAGAAGTATATATAAGTGGTTCCTTCAATTAACATATATTTCATAAGTACATTAATTGCTATACATATTATAGTTAACAGTATGGACAGCCTAAACAGATTGGCTGACCTACTTGCAAGTGGGACAGTGCTTGGTAATTCAAATTATGGTCCAGATGTGTTCCTTAACAATTGTGAAGATATATTTCTTCATGAAGACCGAACAGTGAAGATAGGAGACTTTGGTTTGGCAACAGTGAAATCCAGATGGAGTGGTTCTCAACAGGTGGAACAGCCTACAGGATCTGTTCTCTGGATGGTAAGGTCTGCAGTATAAATGAAAAAGACGATTAAATTACACATCATTGCTCTAACGTGAATTATTTATATACAACAAATTTGGGGGGGAAATCCCCCAAATGTAGCGTTTTCTGTTCCATTACAACTGTTTTCGTCGTTACGAAAGAACCAGGTTTCTGGTGCTGCAGTGTTAATAGTATATTTGTGTTCACAGAACACAGGGCTTCTCAGACAAATTAATAATTTTGGTTTGATCTCATTAGGATTCAGGTCCAAACTATATAGCCTGCACTTATGCACAAATTGACACTTCCCACCCCTGCCTTTGGAATGTGAGGGATCTTTCCCTATTGCAGTGATGGCGAACCTTTTAGAGACCGAGTGCCCAAAAACTGCCCCGCCCCCGCTCCACCCCCACCCTGCCTGCCCGCAGGGCCACTCACCGCCTCCAGGGCCCGTCACAGATCACCCAGCAGGCCTTGGCGGCCACCCCCTCTTCCCGCGCCCCACAGCATCAACTGTCGTGATGGGCCGTGAGGGCAGTCTTGTCTACGCTGTCTGGCTGCCATGTCCTTGGCTGCACTGCTCCACGTGGGCCATGCTCGAGGGCGACTCTCCTCCAGGGGGACTGCTGGTGAGGAGGGTGTCACGGGGGGAGGCACGGCTGGGGCAACGGCACATGTGCCCACAGAGAGGGCTCCAAGTGCCGCCTCTGGCACCTGTGCCATAGCTTCGCCACCCCTGCCCTATTGCAACCGGTAGTGTTTTTTTCAACCTTTCTTCTGTATATGTCCAATGCTACAGGCAACACAAGATATTTCCTTTGAAAATCATGTGTAGAGGTGCATAGTATTAGGTGCATACTCTTAATTTAATTAGCTGGTCAGCCATCTGTTCACTGACAGATATCATAAAGAAAAAAAAAAGTAAGATAAAGTAGTCTACACCCAACCATTCACTTTAAATTATGCTTCATGATTTTTTTTAACCTATGACCTTTAATTTAGTTGACTCTACTTTTTATTCCTTTTCCATGCAGTGCATAACATTGCTTACCTTGAAAGGTAATAAGTGAATGGGAATGTATGTATGGTCTTGGACCCAATTTGAATGCATTAGAAAATTATTTTCAAAGTTTAACACTCTCCTAGTCTGTGAAATTATGGTTGTCTGTGGGGTGTGGACAAAGAAGTATAGGTTTTGGGGTGGGTCGTTACCTTTTTAAAAAAATAATAATAATCATTTTATGTTTTCTAAAGGCACCGGAAGTAATTCGAATGCAAGATAGCAATCCATTCACCTTTCAATCAGATGTGTATTCTTATGGAATAGTACTATACGAACTGATGACAGGAGAGTTACCCTATTCCCATATTAACAATAGAGATCAGGTGAGAAATTATTATTTTTTGATAGAGGGCTTTGTATTTTTGGATCAAGTTTTGTTTTTAAATTCTATAGATTTTCCCATTAAAAACAGACTAAAATACACACAGTTAAGAATTGTATTTGGATCATATCTATCTTGTATGTTATTGCATGTTTTCTCAGTAATTTTGCAATGGTTCCTGTTTTACAATGCCCCAATCAGTGTAATGCCACCGTCTTTGTCCTAAGTTCCTTCTTTGTGAGCCTCTGCAGGATTCATATATTAAAAATACAAAATTAGAAATTCCTCTATACTGAACTAACTATGCTCATTGGTGTTTTCACATTGTATATTCCAAGAACTTCCTTTAATTTTCTTTGGTCTTCCAATTGCTCTTTTAATCAGAGCCTAAGAAGTACTTGTGTACTCTTCTTTTTTTTCTCCTCTTTGTATTCTACTTTACCCAGAGATCATGAATAATTATGCTAGTTGGGAGGAGGGTCTGAAATTGTTTCGGAATAGTGAGATATGATGGAATTAATTTTGAAAAAGAAATCTTAACTATTCCAGTTGCTAAAGAGAACGATCAGAGAACGATCAGAGCATGCTGGGTTTTAACATTTTCACTTGCCGTGGTAAACACGACACTTTCCTCTAGCAAGCATAATACATGAGTAGCCTTCCTCCCAAATGGAAGCTAAAGAGAGAGGGATTTGACTGGAAGCATTCCAAATCCACGGAAGAAATGCGGTGATTAAATTGGACAATTCTTGGGCACCAAATGGAGGATGCGAAGGCCCGCTCTTGGCTGCTGATTAATAAATAGACTGAAAATGGTGCCACTACACAGCAGTAAAGTTGATAACATTCCTGCCTTTTTCTTCAGGGATGAAAGGGAATTTATATCTAGGGGTATAAATTTAATAATAATAATAATAATAATAATAATAATAATAATAATAATAATAATAATAATAATAATAATAATAATAGTAAAGTTGGAAGGGACCTTGAAGGTCATCTAGTCCAACCCCCTGCTCAGGCAGGAAACCCTACACCATTTCGGACAAATGGCTGTCCAGTCTCTTCTTAAAAACTTCCAGTGTTGGAGCATTCACCG